TTAGGCCGGCCAGCTGCAGGAAGAACAAGCGAGGAGGATTCATGGGGCGAACTGATGCGCGACATTGACCGGCCCGGGCGCCCCTGCTGCCCTTTCTTCCTTTCCATCTTGTCAATGCGAGGCCCATTCGTCATGCTCATGCAATATGTACTAACTTTTTCTGTCCCTCCTTCCATCATGCCTTTCTAGAAACAATGCAGGGCAGGTTATGATTACTATTTGATCCATCTGGTCAAGCAACAGCCCCTTCATGGCACACCCTCTTTTACTACTAGTACTACTCGATCGAGAAGATGTATGTATGCATGCAGGACAGGAAGTAAACACAGGGAAGGGAAGCTTCATCGTGATTATGGTTCTGAAACAAATAAATTTATGCAATCGATGTGCATTGGGCTGGGTGGTCTGTCTTCCGGCGGATGGAGACATGGAGCTAAATATCGTCTGACACCAACATCATCACCGTCGACTCTGTACACAAAGCGCAGCTAGTAGGAGTAGCTAGTTCGGCAACGGCAGCAAACATCATACTCTGGCTACGTTTGTGTTTCTTTTTTTATTTAAATAAAAATATTAGGAAGCAGAAGAAGCAATGGCAACTTTATCCAATCCGTCCAGCTCTAGGGTTTAAGATCTGCTGGCCACCTAAACCCTATTTTTTTTTTCCTTTTGGACCTTGCTCTGCGTTGCTTAATTTATACTGGTAGTATTCTCTTAATTAAGAGTAGAAGAAGAGAACGAGAAACGCCTTTAGCCAAATCGAGTAAGGCTGCCTTTTCATTTTTCCCGATCAATGATCATGATCCGGTAGATGTGCGTGGGATGCTTTGGGCGGATGCGTCGACGAAGCTTTCGTGCGGCGAGATAAAAATGATGGCAGCTAGCATGAGCACAAGAAGGGGGAATCCATGGATGCACATGATGGCTTTGCTTTTAATCGGCGATCATGGTTTTGTACGCTCGTACTCTCCTAGAATCTTAATGGCCTGTCTCCATGTGCAGCACCAGCACCAGCTGCACGCAATACTGCAAGCGAGACGAGCCCATGCCCATGAGTCCATTGATGAAAGTTTGAAACGGTTATGATCGGCACAGCTTGTGTGGTTACTACCACCGCATTGCCACAGGAAATCAATACGCCACCAGTGGCAATGCCGTCTAGGATTGGCATCGCTGCAGTGCTACCGGGTCAATACAATCACTGGCTGCTATACTATACGAGAGCGAACTTTCAACAGCTATGATCGATCACAGATATTATTTTGTCAGTAGTATAATCGGCCAAGGTGAGGAGACAGCAACGAAAGGTCTCCCCGCTCACCGATCCGCTTCCCCGCCACCCCCCACTCCCCACCCCCACCCCCCTCGCGCCGCCTCCCCCCAGGCGGCGCCAGGGCCCCCCGATCCTGCTCCGCCAACCCCTCCCCACTCCTCTATCCCCAGCCGCCGCTGCCG